TCCTGATTAGGTTTAGTGAGCCAAGGCTTTGAACTGCTAGCTCCTGTGCGTTTTTTCCCAATGTATTTGAGCACAAAGCAAGGTAGGGAATTTGTCTCCTCAAAGCATTCTTGCTTTAGACAGCAGGCAGGGGAGATGCCAGCACTAGGACTTCAGAAGCAGCCTGATGCTCTTAAGTGATGCTTCAGGGCTGCTGCTGTCAACTGAATTGGGACATGTCCCAGCGGCTCTCCTCCAAGCACCTCTCTAAAAATAGCCTGTTTAACAAAGCATGGGTTAATTAGCGCCTGGAGGTAATTGTGAGGTGAGACCGAGTGCAGTTTTGTGCTCAACCTGTGCTGATCAGTGGTTGGCATTTACTTGGTCGTCCTCCTGTCCAGCCCTCTGACACTCAGCCTCTTCCGCTTGCAGCCATGCAATACAAAGGATCCCGTCCCTCACTTGAACCAGTTGATGCAACCTTGGAGACTGGTAGCTCCCTCCTTGAAAACCATCACCTGTACCAGTTCCGAACAGCTGGATGCAGGCAGCAGCTGTTCATCTCCCGATGCAGATGTTTTGCCAGGCCTGTGGTCTACTCGTGGTTTAGCTTGCAGGTGCAGTATCAAAGCCCATCTGCACCCCTGTGCAACACAGAGAAAGAGGGATCTGTAGATCGCTCTAGAGAACAGGAATGGATTACTAAGGGAGCACAGTCACACCTATAGCCTAAATTAGATGCTGCAGCCAAAGTGTTAAAGTTAACAGATTCTTATCTGCTCCTTCTCCCTGGTCTCGTATCAGGATATGATGTGCAGCCCTTGGCTCAGGCGACCTGCTCACTCCATTCCCAAGGAGAAGAATTAATGTTCCCCCTTCAGATCCTATTTCCCCCTCACTTTCCATCTCTTCTCTCCTGCCTTGGCCTGCAAACAGAGCGGAGGAGCCTGGGTTTGTCCCTTAGTTACCCACTGGATTGGAATTTACTAGAGCGTTGCTACCCGCAGCAGCCAAGCTTGCTCCTTAGCAGATTAGTTAAGCGCAGAAAGCTGCCTACTTATGTGGTTTAACCTAATTTCCACATCACTGGCTTCCTTTTTCAGCTCAGTGGAGCTGAAACCACAGGGGCCCTGCTTCCCATTTCTCGCCAAGTACCGGACTACCAAAGGCCGGGGGTGGGGGGGGGGTGAAACCCCTCTGCTCTGTTTCTGTGAATGAAAAGGGGGTCAGTTGTGCCCCTCATATTTCTTATCAGGTAGAGGGTGAGAGGCCTTGTACTGCAGAGGTACGCAAGCCTGCACCACTTCCCCAATCCTTCCACCTTTTACCAGATGCCTCCTTGCACTGGAGCAAGGGATGTGACCAGGAGCAAGTTCTCTCCCTTACCATGAGCCTCGGGCATGGCCTCTACTGCCTAAAGAAATGTCCGTCTCCCCAGCTTCCTTGTTCTGTCGGGCTATCTCCTAATCAATGATGTTCCCTGCTGAGGAAGGAAAAAACAGCAGAGGGATAAAAAATGACCCTGTTTCCTTTGCTTCTCTTGTACGCCCAGCTGTGGTCCAGAATCCCCACTTCTCTTGAGAAGAAAACACCTCCAGCTGACCTCGATTCCTAGGAAGTTGGTTAACCTACCAGGAGCTCCTCCTAACTGCTAGCATAGCATAGCTACGCTATTTCAGCTCCGTGCTGGCTCACGTACCTCCGCACCGCACTGAAGTCTGCCGTGAGATCCAGCCAGCTGTGGAAGAGAGCACTGCACCCTTTCCCTGCAGTTGCAGTCTCCAGATGTGCCCCAGGTCACGGCTCCTGGACCGGCCGCCCCCTTGTAGCTCTCCCAGCTCCGCCTGGCTGGGCCCGCTTTCTCTTGGCCAGGGTAGCAAAGGAGGTGTTCAGCCTCCGGGCAGCCTTC